GCACCTTTGTTCTTGAAGACTGTGCATCACCTTACTTTTTAAGTAATTAGAATAGCAGCTGTCTGGCTGCTTAACATCAGTATGTTTTTAAAGGGGAATGGGGGCTGGGATGAAAGTTCAATTTTAAAGTTAATTAAATCAATGTAATTCATATTGTGTGCTGCTTACTTATTCACGGAGAGTTTACAGGACAACGGGAATAAAACAGATGGCTGTACTTTGTCACGCTTCGTAGTCCATGGACAGGACAGTTAAGAACCAGTGTATCTCCTGAGGATGACAGCACTGGCATTGGTGTTTTCTTTGCATTCGATCAAGAAGGAACCTGCCTGTTCATATACACTGTTTTCTAAAATATTTTATTGAAAAGCACCCCATTGTCTTACAGCTGCATACTGTAATTCTTACCATTTTTAGCATCCCTTTAAAATGCCAAAGTGAGGAGCTGATACATTTTAAGGTCTACACTGTGTCATGGAAACAAGAGTGGCTGTGTGTTAGTTAAAGGTTATTATTCAGTGATCACTGAAAGGGACATGATTGTCCCTTCACTGCTATGAATGGCACTGTGGCCCCAAGCAGAGGATGGGTAAGGAATTAGGGAGGCCTTGTGGGGAACAAGACCTGGTTGTCATTATATTCAAAATTTCAGTCTTTTATAGAAGTCTAATCTTCACGGGCCATACCTTTCATGTTATTCAGAGAGATTCAGCTTAAGAAAGCGGGCTTGTCAAAAATATTGACAAAACTGCACCAGGAGGTCCTTTAATTTTGCTTGAGCAGATTGGACAATTTGGGGTCCAGTTTTAAGAAATATTGAAATTTGTCCCTTTAAAAAATTGTGCAGTTTTTGCAACTAAATTCTTCTCTGAAAAGCACATGCCGCTAGCAGATTTCGAGAATCAGGGCTGATGGCACTTAAACTTCCAATCCCTCTGCAGTAGCACGTAACTCAGTCCAAAAGCCAAGCCCAGGCGATCATGTTATCAAGTTCAAAAACTGAATTCCCAAATGAACAAGCAAAATGCAGTTATCGTGACTGTGCTTAACAGGTAAGTATAACTCAAAAGACAGGCTTGCAATTATGAAGGTGCAAAAACTCTTCTCTGAGTCACTAAGACAATTTCCAACTAACCTCAGTGAACTAACATAATTACGAGCGTGTAGGTCATATTTCCATTGACTGTATTTGCCTTGGATAGACTGCTAAAATTGAAATGCCTAGCGGGTGGAAACCTTCCTCTCTGAATGTGTTTTAATCAAGTCCATTACCCCACAGCCTTCGCTTTGTCAGCCTCAGTGAACACAGACGGACTATGTAAAACCATGTCCTGTGAACTCAGCGTGGTTGGCTTTTCTTTACAAGGTCAACATCCACTAGATGAGAAATACAGATGGTATATGACCATAAATTTTAAGAGCTTTTGCTATTATCTGTGTTGCAAAGTCTGCAAAAGCTATTTTAGAGTAGGAGGCACGACCTCAAAGATTGTTAATGATTGACTGGTCTGAGCACTGGGGGCGCAGCCATTCTGAGTTTCATTCTGAGAGTGCTCTGCATCATTGCCAGGGGACACCTGTGAGTTCCAGTGTCACCAACTTCCCAATGTCAATATTGAGAGGATTTTCTACTTTTAATATTGGCAAGTTCTTCGAATCCATTTCATGGAATGTGTACTTTATAAATGAGAGGAAAATCTAGCTGCCAAAATAACATTCAGTCTTCCGAAGTGACTAGCCAGTTGAGGTATATCGTGTTAAGAATAGAAAAGTATATATTTTTAGATGGGATGAAAGACATTCAGCAAAGAGGATGCTGGGTATAGAGAATACACATATTTTTCACTTAAAATCATAACTACTTTAAGTGGCCCAGAAAGGTCATTAATAACCTGCTCTCTTCTGTTACACATGTTGGTTTGGTTTTTTTTTTTCTTCACATTTTTTTTTCCCGAAAATTTCCATTATCCTCTGTACAATCCTGGCAATTTATAAACCTAATGTATGTACTCAGATTTTAGGGATATACAGATTTAAAGCATTTGTAATTCAAATTTAAGGGGAAAGTTATTAGAATATAGCCACAGGATAGGAATTGATTACAGGACATGAGATGAGTGGTCACAATGATCCCTTCAAACAGCCCCTGGGTGTTGGGTGGGCTCTCCAGGTGAGTCCATGTTATGGAGACGTTTGAAAGACCCTTGGCTTTCCTGTTTCTGCAATTTTTTTCTGGAAACCTATTTCAAGTAGTAAAGAAAGTTCTAGGTCCTCACTATGGTTGAGCTCCAACCCTAAGGGCTGGGCAGGAAAGGGAAGGATGGCAAATGTATGCTAAGGTACAAGGTTTCCAGCCGTGTATTTCAATGGTTGAGATGCATAATTATATATTTAAAAAAAAGTGATGTAAATTGCATGTACAACAATTACAAACTTTCTAAAGTGGCAATTTCAGAATATCCATACTAGAATTCCAACTTACCTGTGGGTGGTCAGTGTCTGTGCACACGTTTTGATTTTTCTCACGATTCATTTAATAGATTTCTGGTTGATTTAATTTGAAATATTAGAGTTTGACACAGGACTAATTTCAGGAAAACCCTACCTCTGGCTGCTAATTACAAAGTTGTTTCCTCATTTCAAAAGGTTTATAAGAATTCATTAGAGGGGACATATTCCTTTAAATATTTTGGATTCAGCTGTATGTGCTACGTCACTGTGGCCCTATGAGTGAAACAGAGTATTTCCTTCCTGTAGGTGGACAAAGACAAGCAGATATACAGAAGCACAGAGAGATTTCTACCACACCGACGTCCCTGCTGAGAGAGTGTTTCATGACTAGTATTTTTACAGGGAGGTTTCAGGCTTAAAATTAAATGAGACACTTTTCCATATTCTTAAATATGAAAACAAGGGATGCCTATGAATTTCTTTGGGGACCTGTGTCCCCAAAGGTTCGTTCTCCCTCTGCTTTTGGTAGAATTCACTTAATTTAAGCGATGATGAAGAACTTTAAAAGTATGACACGTGAAGTATAGAAAAATGTATTCAAGTATTTCAGAGACATATTGACACAATGTAGTTTATCATTACTTTAAAGTGCCTGGCTTACCCTCAGAGAACACAAACAACTCATCTTGCTCTAATCTGTCTTTAGTATAAGAACATATCCACACAGTTTTGGTTCCTACATACCAAATGAAAACAGGTGTGTTTTGGGGGTGCACAGTCTTCAAAATAAGTAAAGTACATAGTAATAACTTTTTCAGTTGTGATATTTGCATTCAATGCCAATCATGTATTTTTTTCCCTTAAAATGTTTTGAATTATTTATCAAGGAGGGGAAATTGGTCTTTTACTAGCAAGAAATGCTACAGATACATAATTTTTTAAGTTATTTTTTAAAAAACTGCAATTAGGTAGACCAAAGTTCAATTACATTGAGACATTTTTAGCTATAAATGGCAGTTCTTGCTTTTAGTTTGAAAGTGGTGACAAAGGTCAAAAAATAGTACCACCTGGTTCAAGAACTAGCTCATTTTGTCCCTCTTACATCTGAGTTAATCATTTTCTGTGCGGTCAAACCTTTCTCTGTCAATAATTTGGCACACCGAGTTTCCAGTTAGTGAATCTGACCAGTAATTAAACATATCAAAAAAGCATTCTAGAGCTTTTAAAAAATACAACATTAAAGATAAAAATAATACAAAAAATAGCAAAACAAAAGAATCAGAGTCTGGTTCAGTGTAACCTAGAACTCGGTCAATTATTCAGACTTAACTGCACTCCATGAAATGCGTTAACGCCCCATCGTAGCTGAAATCATTCCATGGAGTTGCTGATAAATTTTAAGTAAAAATTTTATTTAGAATGATTCACGTCTAGTGAATGACTTAAATATTGAAATCATTAATTCAAAAATATAAATCAGTCCTTTATAGAAATGACTCATTTATATAATTTAGAATTAAAATTGTCCCTTCTTACATTTGGAGCCAGGAGTTTGAACCCACACAACTTTGATGGGAAAACTGTTCTTGTTAAAAAAAATCCTTCATAAATCCATTCTTATTTTCATTAAATTCATTTTTTATCAAAATGTAAATACTATAATCCCATTGAATTTTAAAGTCTCATTCTAAGCTAAAATAGAAAAGTCTTACTGAACTTTGTTCAATTATATCAAAACATTAAACTTAATTACCAACAATTAAGCAACTATTAAAAATCTAACAGAACAAGGATGCTGGCTTGAAATTTTCAGTGTTTGGCAATAATTAAAAATACATAGCTATAACACTTTTAAAAACAATAACATTTTCAGTATATCCACCTACATTCATAGAGATACAAAGTTAAGAAAAGTAGATTTTGTATATAAGAAGATGATCTCTTAGGCCATTAAAAATTTTCCAAAGAGGGACATTTAATATTTTAAACAAATAAATTTAGTAGCTGAACAATAAAAGTTTTAAATTTTATTCTTCCAATTTGAAACATTTTTGTTATTACCTAAGTCAGTTTGATGGCATTTGTGTGTACAATCCTCTGTCATTTTTGAGTGAGTTCCCACTGAATTATCTGATTATTTGTCTATTTTGTAACTACGGTAGAAGAAAACACTTGGAAGCCTCAAGCTAGTGATGTTTCACCTTCAACATCTGCCCTTTTTCCTTTTCCAAAGTTTACTGCGCAAGATTTTACTTTTATGAGATTTAATACCAACTTAAAAAAATTTCAAAGTTTTCGCGTGTAATATTATGTAATATTATGTTACATACGAACACACTGATGGGAATACTTCCATTTGTACAAGTTACTGTGAAAGAACAATCTTAATTTAATAGGAAATAGAATTCCCGTTTTATATATATATATAGTATCCATTAAAGGAATCTTAACTGCCTCGTGACTTTGCATAGCAAATCATAATACCATCCCACATGCCACTTGAATACAGTGATCATCATTTGTACCACACACACCCACACACACACCCACACCGACACCCACCCACACACACACACACACACACACAAAACCTCTATGGCCAAGAAACCTTCCTTTTGAATTGACAGTGTGCACTTACATGTTCCCAGGGACTTAATCTTGTTGCTGATGAATGTCCTCATGCCTAAGAATTTTATAGATAACCCAGTAGAAAATGTTAAAAATCAAAAAGGCTAACGGGAAGCAGGCTCGAGAGATGGTGTCGATCTTCTTGGCCCGGTCGATAAAGACCTTCCTCATTTCATCGGGGCTCTTCGGCATTACCTGGACGGGATGGTTTGTGCCCTTTGGGGTCACTCCGTCTTTTGTTTGTAAACACGGTCCCATTCCATAGGCTGTGAAGCTAAATCGACTTTCCCTTACCTCATCGTCCTGCCGTAAGGAAAGCACAGGAAAGCACTTTAGTCGTAGAACGGGCGTGCACAGCAGGCATTTCAGAACCGTAACTTGAGTTTTATCACGGTAAATATTAACATTATTACAATGAAAAGATAAAGCGTATAAAGATGAACCGCTTTTCCTTCCTCCTCGAATTTTAATGACATACCCTGCTGCATACAGATGTGTCCGTTAAGAAATATAAAACTCTCAAGTGATATGTTTTAAATGGAAAAATTAAATATTCTGGCATTGTCTACATATTGCTAAAATATCCAAATAAATTGAGCAAGGGAAAAAAATTACTTGGACATTATGGTATATACGTTCAGGTACTAGATTTTTGTCACGTCATGTGTCTGAATGGGTACGTAAGTGATGTCAAAGGGGAAAACACCAGGATCATTGACTGAATTTTTCTTTTTCATGGAGGCAAACATTTTAATGCGTGTTTCCTACAATTTCATGTTACTTCATTGGGAAAAACTCAACACCACTGCTAGTTACTGTTATTCCCAATGTTTTAGCGAACCTGGGCCGGCCATCTGGTAATTTAAACACGAGCTGATCTAAACATATCCTCTGACCTTCACTCTGGCTGATGCACTGATCAGGGGAGTCCCTCAGGCACAAGTTACCTGGTAGCTCTCCTTTTGGGAAGGTAGGAAAATGCATACGATTCATGGACACATTTACTCTAGCAGTTGGCAGGCCGGGTTTCACTGATGGAAAAAAAAATCTGGACTATTTAGAAGAAGGGGCGTGGCCAGAGAAGAGTCTGTTAGCTCTCCTGATGTGGATTTTAAGACGCAGAGTGAAAAGAGCAAAAATGGGCAGGATTCATGTGGAAGAGCTCCTGGCACGTTACCGCCGGCCGGGAGGAAGGACACCTGTTGCCATTCTGGCAGCTGCTTCCCTTAAGGAGCCCGGTTAAACCTGCTGCTTTCATCTCAGAAGTTACATCCAGTGGTGCCAGTGGGAATGGAAACAAGAGACGCTGATCCGCAGCTGAATTTACTCCATCAGCAAAGGCGATCAGTACAGAGAAGACGTCCCTTCGCAAAGGCCAGGGCCTCCCGGCCCAGCCCTCGGTGGGGTCCCAGAGCCGAGCTGTGGTTAACGATGAATTGCTGGGGGTGACGAACACAGCCCTTTGGGACAGCTGGGGGCCAGCGCGCGCCCGCAGGAGGGACGACGGCTGGGAAACAACAAGGCAACATTAAGAACGGAGAAAGAGGCACAGGGATGCTGTGTTCATAGGTACCACGGTCATTGTAGAGGCAGCAGATAGGAAAATAAGGGGCTAAGCCATACCCAGGAGGTGGCATTGCCTTTGGCTCAATGTGTGATTGGGAAGAACCTGACACGTGGACGAAGGACGTTGCTATTTCTGGCTCGAGCCTGATCTTGGGTAGTTCCTTAGCCCAGTCATAGTCGGAGGTACTGAAATGGGAGCCCTCAGCCTTGCCACTGTAGAAACTGTGAAACAGCACAAGATTCCAGGGCGGTACAGGGAGGCAAAGAAGACCCCGCTCCGAATAAGGACGCGTGGCGGCAATGGTGCTCGGCCCCCACTGCTGTCCTCTAGAATAGTCCTGATTGGCCTATGTTAAAAATAAACGGGTCCTGCAGACTGACTGCTGACTGCCCGGATCCACTAAGGAAGACCCCCGACAGCCTGTACCACGGCGGATGGGGCGAAAATTGTTGGGGAGTTTCAGAACAAAGGAGGCTGGTATGAGCTGGTCCACTTGACCATGGCTTTCCTTTCCACCTCAATCTAAAAAAAAGTCAAACACAGTGTGTCTTCATGTAGGGGCAGACCCAACTGTCACCTTACTGTCATCCCTTAGGGAAACCTGAATTCTCCAGCATCTTGTCACAATGTGGTTGGGAACAGCTGGGTCCAGACGACAGTCAAAAGTGAGCTGGTTAGTGATAAACGATCATCCTCCCGTTCCAGGAGAAAGTCAGGCAGCGTTCGGACACTGTAGCTGCATGTGTGACAAGGTCAAGCTGAGAGGCAGACCAATCCAGCCAAGAGCCAGAGCCCAGGGCCGTCGGTCCAGACTCTGAAGCTAGCCTGGGAGAACCACCAGGGACGGTGCACTAACAGTGGCTTCTGGATCCCACAGTGAGGGAGACCCTGCAGCGTGAACTGAAATCTGGCAGATACATTTTGGGTCTCTGTTGGCTACACTACCCAGGATGGCAGGAAGACAGACTGGACATGAAAGGGGAACAAGGGACAGCTGAAGAGATCTGAGGCAGGCAACAGCCCAAGCTACTCTCTGAGGCCTTAAAACTCAGAGACGCTAGAGATATCTGCTACTGAAACGTGCAGACTGGAGTTTCTGGGAAAAGCAGAGTCCCAGCACCCACAGTGGCCGCTGGGATTCTGGACGAGAAAACGCTCTGATGCCACGAGCAGGACAGCTTGTTTGAATGACAGCCCCTGGCATTGTCCTGTGCTCTGTAGAAGCAGTCCCCCGACTGAAGGAACCTGAAGGGCACTGGACTGTGTTTAGGGCTAAGATATCAACCATGCCATGGGTGGTGTCAAAGCCTTTCCAGTCCTGGCTCCCTGATAAGATGGAAATGGCTTGTTCAGGGACGAACCAAGGGGAGTCACTTGACTGAAGTACGTCACATCCATCTCAACGGCCCTTCTGACAATGGACCAGTGATGGAATCTGTGGTCAGGCTGCCCAGAGTGCTGTGAAACTCACGACTCCCTTCCCACTGAAGCAAAATAGGCCCCCTGGTTCACCAACAGATACTCCCGTACAGACGGTAAGGATTCAAACCAGCCCTGCAGTGGAATGAGTAAGTAGCTGAAGGAGGCAAGGTGAATCTACACAGCGGGCTGGCTTGAGAACCAGTAAATGTCACAGCATCACAAGAATTGGTTCTTGATCTGAGCAATAGCTGGATATTCAAAGACTCCTGGGCCCTGGCCAGTGGCCTTGCCTCATCGTCAGGCAAATGGGCCCTTGTTCAGTGACAATTAAGAGTGTCCCAAGGCGGGAGATGCAATTCCTTACAGAAATTCCGAGGTAGAATTAAATTAGGCCACGTAATCCCCGCCAAGCTGCTGGCTCACAAGAGGACCATAGTGCCAAGACCCATGTCTTGGATTAGCCTTTGATGTGGTCATGGTGGTGTCCAGGCCATGCAGAAATGGACAGAACACATTCCTCTGGTACCCAGCGAAGCCACTGATGGGCTGAAAGCCTGTCCTGAATATTAACAAGATAAAAAATTTCTTGAAAATTGCCTTTGGGTTGAACTTCCCAAGGACAAGAGCTAACACACAGCCAGCAAATGGAACACTCAGGGTCTCTGCCCACTGCTTTTGGAGGATTCAGTGGGTTTTGGCAGAAATAGACAGTAGGTCCATCCTGGGCTTTGCTTACTCTGTAACAGAAGCCACAGCTGAAAATACTATTAATGGCTTGGAACAGGCATCTTTATACTATTCTGCACCTCTGAAATGATCTCATTAGATAAAGGAACACATTTAAACATGGCCAGTACGATCAAATGGCCCAAGAACACAACAGAATAAGGGCACATCAAACCCCATCCACTCACAGAGCAGAGGTTTAAACAGCAATTGGAATGAGCAATTAAAACACTGCTCCTAAAGGCAGGCTGACCGGGACGCAAAGGGCTGGCTGGTTCACTGGCTGAGTGGGCAGATCACGTGGATATGAGAGACAGCACGCTGGAAGGCCTCCAGAGAGGGCTCCGGTTTCTGGGAGTGGAAGCGTGGGGGCTAGAGAACACAGCTGCGACTTAACTCTGTCTTTCTCACCTCTCAGGTTTCTCTTTTGTATTGCCTGATATCGCAGTTTTGGATCCAAGATCACATTTGCATCTTGTAGCTGAAGGAATCATCGCTACTTATGATAGTGCATCTATTTCTTTAGACTAGGAAGCCATTCCTGCCTTCGGCGGGTGAGGGGACTAAAAGTCCTGTGTGTCTGAGTAGATGAAGACACTTTATCTGCTGTCTCCCCTGCTTTTTATCCTACCATAGAGCTGAGGAGACGCCACATGAGATGAAAGCTTATTTCTCTCTTTTAAGCATGATTGCCTCTCAAACCTATAAACAGATCTCTGGAGCGGTACTGAACAAAGCCACTTCCAGTCTGGATATTGGTTTTGATAGAAAATGACACATTTGAACAATTTAAACTTAATCATCTTCATATAGCACTGGCCCATCATAAAAGCTGGCAACAACGTGTAAAATGACCACATTCCGTGTGCGTGCCCTGATGGCAGCCAGGAGAGGACAATACTTCTCACGCGGTGGTCCACGGAGTGGCTGCCTCAGACCCCCTGGGAGGGACTGCCGAGATCCTGTTTTCTGGACATCAATTGCAGAGATTTGTACTCAGTAACATGGAGGTTGCTCCAGTCATCTGCATCCCCAAGCTCACGAGGGATGATAATGCACAGCTTGTAGAAGCGAACATTTCCAAGAGGCACAATGCAGCTATCACAGTTAGCCTACACTCACGGCAATGAAACGTCTTTTGAATTTTTCCAACACTTTCTAATTTACATTTTAAGTGGTAGTTTATGAAAGCATACTCTGCCACGACTTTTGTGTCAGCATTGGAAGCATTATTTTATTTTTTAAGAGTCCCTTTTTTTGGTGAGGCTATTTCTAGGAGATGCTCTATGTAAGGCCATCTGTATGACCTGTGTCTTTATCCATTTTAAACTTTATGACAGGACCTAGGACTCTCGTAGGAACAGACTTTGAGCAATTATACTCTACATTGTGACTTGGTGCAGTATTGTTTTCAAGATCATCAGGAATATGATTTCACTGACAAATACACCACCAGTGGCTTTCCTGCGAATTTTGGAGGTAAAGAAATAGAAACTTTGAATTTTGATAAAAAACACTTCCCTTATTAAAATGTCTCATTCAAATATTTATTTCCTGGCAATGGTAATAGAAAACAAGATACTGAAGA